AGTGACATAAGCGCGCAAGAATATATACGCGTTTAACACGGAGCACGCTGAGTACATTTGGTCTTTGCGTACACGCAGAACGCGCGTCAGAACCAGCTTGTAACCAAAGATCGTATAGCGCCGCTTAGCGGCACAGGATGGGGAACTTCACCATGAATACGCGTAAAACGTTGTTATCACATAGGCGCCATTCTGGTTGGACTACGCCTGCGCAGTGCCTGTTAATGCACACGCACCGGCGCCGCAACACACGCACGCACATTAACGTTCACACTAGAATGGCGCCCATGGTGATAACACCTTTATGGCCGGCGCTATATAATCTTTGCTTGTAACCACCTGTCTTTCTTTTCACCGATTGGGGATGCACTTCAGCTCGGGGCGGATAGAGTTGCAATTGTTGGAACCAAAATGGTGGATAATGCGTCAATACACATGAACAATTAGCACACGAACGGCTACATACTGTCCTGCAGACATAAGCAGCCATTTTCGTTCCGNAAGTTGGCACTTGTACACACAGTTCTCTCAACACAAAGTCAACATAAAAGGAGAACTGCTTTGGGAAATCGTTTTCATTCAATCCTTTCTGCCTCATAACCAAGCATCTAAGAATGCTTTTTCACTAAAACCCTTGAGTTGCCTAGAAATTCAAAGATATTCAATATTCCATGCAGGAATGGGCAAGGCCTCCACACAAGCCTGTTTTGCTTGAAACAGTACATTTCATCTTGCACGTATAACTTGTACCAGTTGGGTTTTTTTTTCCCGGTCAACCAGTAATCAAGGGTAGACTCACAACAAACTTGAAATACCAGCGCAGATGATGAAACATTACAATCATTTCCTGGAATAATATTCATGGAGCATTTAATACTAAACAAGTATCCATACATTGTTATACAATATCACAAAAATATGATTACCAATCAAAACACAAGGGGGTATATTACTGCAGTAGACACTACAAGGCTGAGTTATGAATTTAGTGAAGCTGTAACACTACATGAATAGCCGGCATCTGTACAAATTCATTTATTATTTCATGATAATTTCACAGATGATATAATCAACAGTTTCAGAACCAATGCGGGCGATTCACAATAGTGCGCCTCCAAGAGTTTGCAACGCGTTCACCAATCACAACGCACGAAATCTGTTGACCCTTTCCAAATGCGCGTAGGGTCGAAAGATTTCGTACATAACAATTTGGCCAACGTGTTACAAACTCTTGGAGGCACACTGTTGTGAATCAACTGTAATGGAAAGCATAACATATAGATTGCGGAAAACAAACTCCAACATTGAATGTTAAGTTTTGAGAGACTGGATTTCAAAATGTTGGTCAAGTACACATATCAGTAACGGCCAAGCTAACTTAAGGTGTATGCTAATTTGTTACAGTTACAATGGGGAAAACAAAAGGATGGATACTAGGATCTTACACATGCTAAAACAGTAAAGCATAGTTTCATGGGCAGAACTTGCTTATATTTCAAAGTGAACACACAGCACAATATTGTAAAAGCAATAAGAAGGTGACTCCTAACCAAGGACATGAAATGTGCCCTCTTTGGATGAGAGAGGTCCAACCTCAACTACAGTGTTCTATTTCCAATGCAAATAATTTTTAAAAAATCGACTGGGGCAGAGAATTATTTGGTGGCTCTCCAAAAATTGAAGACAACAGTATTTAAGCATGTTGATAAGAACAGTTGTACCAAAACTGGAACTGCAAGTCAAACCAAACAGTTCTGTACATCATTTCCCATTCACTTCTCTTTTTTACCGAGCAGAGCTGGGGATCGTCTTAAAATTCCTCTACGTACTGCAGTCTGAGAAGTGATGTCTATTTTGGCAGTATGACCTTTCAATTATCATGACCTCAGCCTGCTTGTCTCAGAATGAACTTGGTTACAGTTCCTGTGAGACCCAACAAGAAGATACAGCATCTGGCTATGATATCAGTTCCACTCGCACTGTCTCCTCCCCTGAGACTACTCGGGTGAGAAAAACATGTACATGTGGGGTCTTGCTAACTTCTCTCATAAGTAACTCAACTGACAATTTAAAGTAATATCCTACACTACAAATTTCAAATTACACAAATGGTGTCCAATTTCCTCTCAATATTTCCCGACTATCAAACACAAAGCCCATTCTGTCAACCTGTTACTAAATCTGGCACAAACGTGTTCTTCCATCTTCCTTCACCTAAAGATACATGGACTCCTTTTCAGCTATCAAACATATACAACACATTCAGGTCCACACTATCATAGACAAATTATTGGTCTACCGTACTGGAATGGTACACATCATGACTTCTTGGGAGGGCATGAGGGGACAGATGGTGGCACTGGAGGAATTTTCATTTCTCCAAAGGAAAGATCTGTCAAATTGAAGACAACTCTGTGACTGCTTTCTTTTCTATGTTTCTCCTTCTAAGCTTTTGTTTGTAAGTTTTTCCTTCTAGAATAAACTGCCAAATGATAAAATGACACCTGAAACCTAAGACCACAACACATCAGCGACACATGTGACATGTCAGATGTCATGCCAGATATCTTAACAAAACGTTGAAGAAATCTTCTCTTGGAGTACATGCAACGAAACCAGGTCAATGTAAAATCTCCATTTTCCATGCATGCAACAAACATCAAAACATTCAAAACTTATGATCATCTTTGTACCTGGCAAAGCCTTGGTCGTAATTTTGACTTGATAACCTTACAAAAATTCCCAACGCTTGTGGCACAACGCTTGCCATGCTCAGAGTGTGTGCGGCCGAACCAAGACGGAAACTTGGTCCTATCCTAAACTACAAATTCCCCATCCCTTCAGGTTTGGCATTGCGAATGATGAACTTTTTTTAAGGCTCTAATAGAAAAAAGGTGGGTAGAAAAATACTGAAGTGCCCCAGGAAATGGAATTTGTGTGTGTGACTACTATACATTTATGACTCACAATTCTAAAACATTTCCCCCCCTCCCCTTTTGACCATTTTATTTGGCCATTCCTGTTTGCTTGAGATGGAGCAGTATGGACCGGAGTCGCGTGACATCTTTACAGTTCTTGTTGTTCTTTGGGTTAAAGTCACACAGGCGAGCAATCCGTTCCCATTCCTGGCCGGGGGTGACCTCATCTCGCTCCTCGATGAATGCTTTCTCAGCAGCCCTGGGGAAAAGGATTCACATTAACAATCGGTGTGTGTACAACCTCGATCTACAGGCAGGTGACTTTGTTTTAAGCCACATACTTTTGCCACTCTGTGGATCATCTATAAAGTGCTAGTCAATTCATTTTCAATTTTCAGTTTATAAATTGGGGCATGTGATCAAGTTGTGACGAGCAGAAATTTGTCAGCTTCTGCACAACATGACTTTCCCCAGGCAGATTTTCTTGAAAAGATGGCACATTTGTCTTTCAATTAAGGTTGGAGTACAGACATGGAAAACAAACCCCTGCTGGGTTTACAATGAAAAGTAGCATTGGCCTGCCCAAACATCTTTTTCATTTTCACAGCTAGAACAAAATAGTATGGTTGACTCCCAATAAGACGAAATCCACAGGCCACATTGAAATGTTCACAGAATCAAAAATCCGCTGAATACAATGTGTCGAACACTGGCTTTCGCTCTTCGCTGTTCAAGTGATTTATAGATCCTACTCTGTATAAGCACCTATGTGGACATGCGTGATGTTCAAAATAAGTTTTAGAATGCTTTCTGGGATAGGATTCATCCGATTCAATGCAACTTTTCTACGTAATAACCCTGAATGCTATTTTAAATAAATCAAAGGTACATGTGAAACACTTTAAATAAAAGCCCACTGTAAAAACAGTCCTTGTTTCTTTTAAATATTTTCCCTTTGGCAATGCAAGTGTGACTGGAACGTGTCACTGGTATGGTGCATCTGATGACTGGTCATGGTTAATAACCACAGTAGATAATAAGCAATAGCAAGGTCCAACCAACTGACATCTCTACATGACTAGATTCTGCACTGGCAAAATCAAACAACTGACATGAGAGACACCTGTTGATGACCGATTCTGCTTTCAATAAGGTGATCCAGGACTTGCAAGCACTTTTTATGAATCACCACCAAGGCTTTTCAAGAAGCACTCACAACAACCCTTTAATACTAGAAGGAATGTCGTAATGTGCAATTTTGCTGTACCAGAACTTCTCCCCATAGGAATGTGCACATTTTCCTCAGGATCAAAGATGTGCGTTTGCTCCAACATGGTACCAACGTTTACCCACCTGTTGGAAGATTGGGTCTTGGTGAACTGTTCAGCTTGTCGTGCATTCCATTCAACAACTTCTTTCTTGGCAATCTCTTTCCACTCATTCTGTAATTTCTCCGCTTCGGCATCTGAAGGAGTAAAAGCAATGCTCATGTTTAAATATGAAGTTATTCACTGCAGTTTCAACATGGAAATTTCCAAGAAATCTGGTCAAGATTCCGTGATTTGCTTTGGAAATAAATGTCTCAGTTAACCCCAACAGCCAACTGTTAAACTTCAAGTGTCAAATTTCCTGGAATGTTTTTGGTATAAATTTGTGGAATTTGTGGTTTGTGACTTATATATATAAGACTAAACCTGGGACGTTGTCTTCACCTTTCTTTTCCAACATTTCTTTCTGTTCTTCTCTCCATTTCCTGATCTTCTCCGGTTCGTTAGCGAGCCTGTCTGCCTGTGAGATTGATGTGTAGGTGTCAGATGGACCATTAAGTTGAGCCTCACTTCCATCCTGCTGATAAAGACGGAATCATTTCACCATCAATGCATACGTTATAAATTTACTTCTCTACAGGTGAACACAGTAAACATGGTAAGCGACACATTTTCTTTAATTTTTTTTTTTTAAAACCCTGGCTGAAATTGTAGAACAGCAAGGTAAGAGTAGTTTCATCTCGAAGATTTCCAGGAGGCAACTTACCATGACAGGAGCTGCTTCAAAACTTCCTAAGTCATCACCAAGTAAGCCTCCTAAAAGCAAAAAAAAAATACACTGATTGCAAATGAACTTGAACATCATATGTCATCACCAATTACCAAGTACGCCTCCTATAAGTGACATCATAAATAAACTTGAAGTGCTGCCTATATCTGTGTCAAAGAAGGTTGGTTACACCACTGGTAAAATCACAAAAATGGGACTGCTGAATAATCCGTGGATATTTTACTCAAAAGTAAATAACAGCCTCAGTTAATCCATCCAGAAAGCTGTAGTTTTCAATAAAACACAAATGTGTTCTTTTTTTTTAATGATGATCGGCCGACCATTGTGTAAAAATGTGTTTCACCTTATATGTCATATCCGTGATGATGATGCATGTCCATGCAGTTAACTGCACTGCATGTTCACACATGAATTCCTACCCTGAATACGTTGCTACAATAGCATAAGCACAGAACCAGACTGAAAAATGGCAACATGGCTGCATGTACCACTGATGCGCAATGGCTACAAGGAAGATCATACGAGTGGTGGGGTATTCTGCAATCAACCTACCGTGGTATACCCAGCCAGAAATGAGACTGAAGAAGACAGAACCTGTGTGTGTAGCACTGCTACATGCTACACAGAATGTTTAGTCCGGTGATATGCAATAGGATATAGGCACAGCCGATCGGATGTTCTAAGAACCAGACCTTCAAGTGCACACTAATGCTACACAGTGCTACATGGGAAAATGAAAAAGTAAGAGGCCACGGCGTGTAGCAAAAAAGTGCTACACCATAGACTTGTGCACAAACCCGTTGCTACACAGTGCTACACAGGAAAATGGAAAAGGAAGGGGCCTCGGCGTGTAGCAAAAAAGTGCTACACCATAGACTTGTGCACAAACCCGCTGCTACACAGTGCTACACGGGAACATGAAAAAGGAAGGGGCCGCGGCGTGTACCAAAAAAGTGCTACACCATAGACTTGTGCACAAACCCAGTGCTACACAGTGCTACACGGGAAAATGAAAAAGGAAGGGGCTAGGGCGTGTAGCAAAAAAGTGCTACACCATTGACTTCTGCACAAACCCGCTGCTACACAGTGCTATACGTGAGTCAGTTCTGTTCTGTTCTACGCGTACGCGGATATGTGAACTTCTGCTCGTTAATGCGCATGCTCAGTTCTGCAGCAGAGTAGCGGTGCTACACGGAAGACCGTGTGGATTCGGCCGTCTCATTTCTGGCTGCATATGTAGAACTCTGGGGTTAGCCACCCACTGCGATCTCATGAACTTCACAGAAAAAAAAGGGCATTTTTTGCTGTAGGTTCGTCATGATAATTAGTGTGGATTCTTTGGTTGGTGCGTACACATAGAAATACTGCTAGGTTCAGCAAGACAATTCTCTGTGAGCAGGCTTACACACTTACGTCCTGTGTACCAAGAAAAAATGCAGATCAAAACCATGCTGATTGTACAAAAATGGTGCACATACTTTCCTATCGGCATTCGAGAGTCGTGAGGCTCACATGTGTACTTATGAAGACAAGCCACAACCAAATGGTTGACTACGGCTGTAACCGATACACAAGTATATGGAACCTCATTTGCACCATATTTGTAAAATCAGCATGGTTTTGACCTGTTTTTATCTAGGTAAACAGGATGTACATGTAGGTACTGCTTGAAGTGGCAGTGTTGACACGTTGACCAGGAACGACGTTGGTAGCACTCCCAAACATCATGGTCAACATGTCTTGTGCCCGGACTACATATAGGCCTTTCCTGTGTGTTTCATGAAAGGACCACATTCCTCCATAGAGTTTTTGCACCTGCAAATCCAGGCATGCGTATTTAAATGAGAGGAGGCGTCAAAAAGTTCAAGTGTCATGCGTGTGTCGAGCGAAAACGGTCAGATTTTGAAGTTGGAAATATCACTGAAGCCCCACAAGTTTGCCTTAGGTTTTTAAGAAAGCCAAAAGGTAGCTCCTTCCTGATCAGTAAGGTACTACTCTGTAGGCCTTACTGCACTCCACCTTTTTGATGGTTCCACATGCTATGGCATTTTAAAAGGTGCCCAGTAATTGTACCAGATGAAACCTCCGTTTGCGCTTTCTGAAGCAAATCTTCCCGTGAGGACCTCATGATAATAGCTAACGTATATGGAACTACTGGGCATGATTGTATTTTGCAGCATTTAACCTACATTATTGGCCAAAAAATATGTTTTTTTGGTACAATCTTTACCTCTCATCCCTCGACGATCCGCACACATCTGCATACTCTGTGGCCGTACGTCATGTGACAAAAACAGGCGCAGCTAATTCACGTAACAAGTGTTGCTCTGGATACCTGTCCCCATAATTCTGACTAATTCCACTAAGATTAAGTATAGAGATGTCTGGGAAATCTGTGGTCAGGGAGCCCCACTAATCACATATCGGCTTGACCATTTTGCAAGCGGGGGGTGGCAATGTCAGGGCGCGTGATACACTCTGCGTTATCAAGCTGGCTGTTTACACACGTTTAAAATGTTTGAGAAATATGTACTTCAGGGAGTGATAATATTTTGCAAAGATATGGTTGAAAAGTTGTGAGACTAATAGGGTGTCTGTTTTCCCATGTAATTCAGGGATTTATTTTTTGCAAATGGTCGAGCCGACATGTGATTAGTGTGGGTCCCAGACCAGAGATTTCCCAGATGTCTCTACAAATAATCTTAGCGGGAGTAGTCGGAATTATGGCAACATAAACGTTTGCTACGCGAATACGCTGCGCCTGTTTTTGTCACATGACATACAGCCACAGAGAATGCAGATGTGTGCGGATTGTCAAGGGATGAGAGGTAAGGATAGTAGAAATAACCTCATTTTTTGGCCAGCAGGGTTCTCCCCATGTACAATTTTGCGTATCTGGCCCGATACGCAATTATTTCTGCCCGATATGCAAAAAACCGGGCCGATACCCATTTTTTCATCCCCGATACGCACAATATAATTATGATAGTATGGCTCAGAATTATCTCACACAATGCAGATTGCATGTCTGGAAAATCTAGATGAAAAAGCAGTTTATCGTCCTACATTTTTTCGTGTACATGTACATACTATAGATAGCCTACATGTATGTACAAGCACTGTGTACCACACGTTGGCGGCCACACTGCATACCGTATATGTACAAGGCACCAAACGTTCCTAGTTGCCAGTGTCGCATGAAATCTGAACTTCCGTCATGGACGTCGTACATGCACCCGCGCGCATAAGTGTTTTCTCTGTGCCGTGTGCTCAATACGCTAGTGGGGCTGCATTTACAAAGGTTAAAATTTTATACTACACCATTCGCAGAACTTACAACATCGACCCCACACACATTTTTTTTCATGGCGGCAGCCGAAGCCTCGTGTAACGGTATTCATGGCATCTACGACAGGGACGATATTTCTCGTTGTCATTTCACCACGTTTTGTCTTGTGCACAATGGCAGAAACTCAATCAAAGCTAGGCTCTTTTTTTAAGCCAATACATGTAACATCAGCAGTCTGCGCTGACGGAAACCCAAAGGCAGACGAAGCAGCCACCTGCAGCAAGTGCATGGAAGGCGCTGGCGAAGGAAGGTCTGATCAGCAAAAACCAAAGGTTGAAGCATGTATTAAAATTAAAACTGAATAAACGGGTGTTTAAACCGTTGATTAATACAGCCACTACATGTTGTTGCATGTCTGAAACTTGAAATGACTCCTTTTGTGCCTATAATTAGTAGTCTAGAAAGGAAAACTGGTCATTTGTTAAAAATACTGATATCCAAAATTTAAAAAAACTTATTGAATCTCCTATGTTACTTGAAAAGCCCAGGAAATGCTCTAAAATGTAGCGGAGAGCATCTTTTCATTATTATTTTATTCAGAAATCAATCAACTAAGCAACAATCGTACACAGAGAAAACAAGATACGGTTGATTCATTCTGGGATAACCCAAGAAAGCCAAATTACACAGGCTTATTTCCATTGGGGTCCCTAAAGTCCAAACATTTTCGGGACCCTTGGGCGGGGCCCCAAACCCCACGTCCATGGCTTCGCAAAATGTTGGTAAACCACAATGGAAATCCCCCTACAGTTTTGAGAAATCATTGGGAGAACCCTGTGGCCAATAATATAGGTTAAACACTACAAAATACAATCAGGCCTGGTACATGTAGTTCCATGTAGGTTAGCTATTATTATGGGTCTTAAGGGGAAGGTTTGCTTCAGAAAGCACAAACGAAGGTTTCATCTGACATGTTTGGCAATGGTACGATTACTGGGCAGCTTTCAAAACGCCATAGCGTGCAGAACCATCCATAAGGTTTACGGAATAGTTCTTTACTGTTCAGGAAGTAGTAGTAGGTGGTGATAAAGGTATTTTAAGTGAGTCTTTGCTATTATTATGAACCGCTGTCACTTTACTATATGTAATGTTCCACGTTAGTATGACCGATCCAGTCCAAAATTTGAAAAAAAAAAAAGAAATAGTAATAGTAAATACTCTTAACGTGTCAGTAGAGCTAGTAAGTTACATTACAATACTCAATAGAACAAAGGTCTTGGGGGAACGGAGCAGCATTTCTATTGGGTATTGGTACACAACCACCACAAAATCCCTGTTTGTGCGCTGTTAAATGTCATAACAAAAAAGGACTGTTTACAGTGGGGTTTGTGGGGACAGGGCGGACATGGCGGACGTCGGACCCCACAGTTCTGGGGGTAGGGCCCAGGGGCCTAGTCCATGACCTGATGACATGACGCAGAATCTGAGACAAACAAAACTTCATCAAGTTCATGAACGTACAAAATATGAGATTGCCTAGGGGCGTGGCTAATAACTCAAAAAATGGCGATAGGCCAGTTGTGCCACTTTCTCGATCATGGTATCCTGGGGCGAGTTGACAATTATAAGTCATTTTCAACTCAATGACAATTACATCTTGAAATGAAGTTCGCCCCCATTTTTTCCAACGTTAGATGCACGATCAGATGATTAACCCGGTACCCACCCGATTGTACGACCGGGTCTGTTGCTGGCGCCGGATCCCCACTGACGAAGTTATCGTCTTCCAACCCTGCAAGTTCATCTTGCTCTCGGGCAAGAAATTCGGCAGCCGGATCCACCTCTGGGGCAGAATTTCCATCATTCATTAAGTCTTCCATTGCACTCCGACGACAGAAAAAATTATCGAGAGATTTACTCGTGGATAGCTGATGACCCTATCCCCAATGTATTTGAAAATATTGTGTACATGGTACCAGCGAAATCATGGTGGGCGTTCTGCGTTGGTTGCCGTCAAATACATTTATATAACAGGGCAAGTTTTTTAGTACCAGGGATTTGGACTTTCAGGAGGCCGAGGCGTGGCAAAAGGAAAATAAAGGGGTGTGTGATGTATACAGGGTTCGTATACAATGTATGTACTTTTCCGCGTTCATTCGTTTTCGGATTTGAAAACGAAAATCAAGAAACACAAAACAAGCCGTTTTCCGTTTTTAGATTTGAAAAGAAAAATGAGGAAAAAGACGAAGAAGTCGTTTCTTGTTTTTCATGTTGAAAACGAAAACTTAAAGTAATCTCCCGGTTGACCAAAGATGGCATGGTTTGTACAGCAGGGAGACCGTGACGTCACGGATGTCTCTGAGCACTTCTCAAAAGGAAATTTAAGCTGCCTTTAGGAATGCGAGAAATTTCCTTCTAGGTTGATCCTTCTTTGAACCAACGAATCCCTTGTATTCCTTTAGAATTAGATCAACTATGTTTAATTTGGTGGCCGGGTTACACTACTTCTCTATGGTTACACCAGACGTTTCTTACTTTACAAAATTTACTGTGGAACTGTTTTTCATTCTTCAAAAAGTTGATCAATAGATTACGCTGTTGTTCATTTTCACATTGGAAAACAAAAAGGAACGTAATTATTGTTTTTCGTTTTGAATAAAAGACGAAAAACGACTTTTCCGTATTTTAAAAAATGTTTTGTTTTCAAATCGAAACACGAGAAACGTACCTTTTTCAATTTTTATTTTTCGATTTTAAAACTGCAAACGACTTTTGTTGTTGTTTAGATTTTCGTTTTCAAATCGATAAACGAATGAACGAAGTGTACATGTACACTAACCTTCGTCTTTTCCCTCGGATTTTTCATTTTGAACACGAAAAACGCCACTGAACAGTTCGGACTTGTGTTTGATTGTGTGTTATAAGTTAATTCGAAAACAAATGAACGAAACGTAAACGGACCAAAATGAGATTTTGTTAGGGCATGGGGTTTAAGGCTTTAATTTAAAATGGAAAGAGGCATGAAATTTGCATGGATCCTAAAAAAAATAGAGACTCAACTGTCCTCAAATTAGTTATGTAGGCCCCCGGTACTATGCATGGGAGATGCGCGGAAAACCTTCGCCGTACTTGCCTTTTATTTTAGACTTGCAACAGTCCTCTCTGAGCTGAGCCTATTAGTCGGGCAGTAATTGATATCATCCGGGAACGTGTTTTAAGAAAAGATGGCGGCCAACTCAAAGAAGCAGGTTGTAGGAGCAGCAAATGCAACCAAAGCATTAGACGAAGAAGACTCGGTTGTCTTCGTGTACGACCGCAGAAAAGGCAATGAACCAGAGAGGAAAATTGACATTGGAGGGGTGTTCAATTTTCCGACGTTTAAGGAGCGTATTCGGCAGGTAAGCCGTAGCCTAGTTTGTAGTTTGCCCGCTCGATCTTTGAACTTTTAAAAAAGTTCGTCTGCGTCGTTACGTTTGTTGACGTGAAGTAGGCCTACGTGTGTTACTTGCTACAGGTTGCCCAATATTCGGACGTTTCAAAGAGGATTTAGGTATACCTTAATTTTTAAAAATTGGGAAACTTATAATTTATTTTTACAAAGATGGCTTACAACTAGTGTGCTTAACACGTACATGTAAATTAAACGACTGAACGAAGTGGCTATCGTTATGGCAGCCATCGCATCTCCCATTTTCTATTGTTACGGCACTGAACTGCACAAGTGCGATGACGTAGCTGATCATCACGACGGTTTATATATTTTAAAATTAGGCCTACTAAGATCGCTGAATGCTTGTGGCCGAGTAGTCAAGGTGGAAGGTTTGGAACCACTGGCATGACTGGTGCGTGAGTTCAGATGGACCATTTTTTTTTTTTTGCCTAAGTTTCATGTTTTATACCATAATACCATAACAACAGCCACGGCATAAATTGTGGTGTACATGGTGTAGGCCTGGTCCATAATGTAGGCTATATCCCGGGCATCCTGGGTAGGCCTCGGCCTATCTGTCATCTGTTCATGCTGTTTTAAGTTAATCATGTTGGTTCATACTTCCAGAACTGAAACATTTTTACAAACCTTACACACATCAATGTTAGCACAATGTATAATTGACGTTTCGCTCTTCTGATCGTTTATGTAATTGTTGGATGGGGGTATGTTTACCTTACTGTCATTTTCATAGCAAATTTAAATGATGAAATTTCTGAGATTTTTGCTTACCCACACCACACAAGACTTACACTACAGCAAGTGCTAACTCTCAGTCATGTCTATTGAAAGATCATCCTTGTCAGCAGTAAGACAGCTTGACCAATTACAAGGTGGCTCTTGACTCTTTCTTTTTATTTTCCTTTCACCCTCATATGAAAGCTGCATTCTAATTGGTTGAATTGCACTGTAGTTGTTTGCCATTGAGACAGAAACAGGAAATATGGCAGATTTCTGACTCACACTTTGATATGTTTGGACAGTTTATAAAAATCACAGGAGCCACAAAATAGCCGAAAATTAGGAAACGGCGGTACATTATTAACAAAGTGTGATTACAATGCTGCTATTCCTTTTTTCATACTGTACAGTCATGTGAACTCTTTCAATGCCCACTGAACCAAAATGACTTCTAAGGTCTCCAGTATTTGAAAATTTGCTGAAGACTGAACATACATGTACATGCTGTACATGTACATCTGTACATGTTTGCCTATTTCTGGATTGGGCATGTAAATATATGTACATGTGTGTGCATGTGTATATCCAACTACATGCACATTATCAATTATATGTGATGTCAAGGCCAGGTATGTCTGAGTTGGTCAACGGTTTATTGGTCTTTGCCTGTTTCTTCTTCTTTGGTACATAGCAACAGATTCTCTGAATCCATGTATGGCCACAGGGGAACCAAGAAAGAGTGGCACAAAGTTAATTGATCTGATAAACTCAAGAACCTGATTCCCAAAAGACCCGATTGGAATTGTTGAGACTATTGTATCAGGAAGCCTGTTCCAATCTCTACAAGTTCTGGGTACAAAGGAATTCCTACAGGTTGTGCTTCAGTTCTGCTATAAGGCAAATCAAGTTGAGAACTATTTCCAGTGGCTGTTCTACATCGTCTTGTAGAAGCATGCTTGACAATAGACTTCGGAATAGCACCCATTTATGTACCAATAAATATTTGTTTCACCATGATCAATCTAGCAGCCTCACGACACTGTTGAAGTGTATCTCACCCTAGGTTTGTGATCATATCGGTCACACTCTACTAAAGTTGTTGTCAATAAAGTGTGCTGCACATCATTGAACCATCTGAAGCTTATTGGTGTATTTGACCTTGAAGGATTACATACTACTGAAACGTTCTCCAGGTGTGGATGAACGAGTGCTAAATAAGCAGTTGTTTTTGCCATTTTCAAGCACTGCTTTAAGTTCCTACGCAACATGCCTAGGACCTGGTTAGCCTTCTTGAGCATATAATCATAAGGATAATCCCATTTAAATTTGTGAGAAAGAAAGACTCCCAGATGCTGATGACGATCCACCATTAACAAAGAATGATTATTCAGATTATAAGTATTGCAGATCTTCTTCCTTTTGTTTCCCATATGCATGATGTAGCATTTCTTTATATTAAATTGTATTTGCCACGTTGTGTCCCATTCATAGAGTGTATCAATATCTTCCTGAAGTATGATGCAGTCAGCCCTGTTGTTGGTGTTTCTATATGAAATGCATTCGTCAGCAAAAGACAAATTTCTGACTGAAGGTTATCTGTTATATTATTGATATAAAGCAAAAATAAAAGGGGGCTGAGGACTGTGCCTTGGGGTACGCTGGAGTCCACAGAATCCCAATCAGAACTAGATCCATTGAACACCACTCTTTGTTTACGTATCTGAAGAAAGTTGGCAATCCACTTCAGTAGCTTCCCATGTATTCGACATATGAAGCTTAGCTTTCAGATGCTCATGGGGGACAGTATCAGTTTTGATCCGTCTTGTTGAGTTGAAACTTTCAAAAACACTTACATGTATGCAAGTTCTCTGTTTTTAAATTCCCAGAATTCTGTTACATGAACTGAATTGTAGCTTTGTCAGAAAATCTGCTTTTAGGGTGGTTCTGGCTGAAAATGGATAATCTCATGCCATCATTTCTTATGCATGCAAGTTTTGCCCTAATCTGGAACTGCTTAAATTGATCCAGAGCTACGTGTGGGAAAAGCAGCATTGGCACTTTCGGTGATCCTGCATCTTCCAAAATACAGGAAGCACATTTGTAAAAGCTTTCCAAATTGAAAGCTTTAATTGGGAAATGCTTCTGTCGTATTTCCTTCACACAAGGTGGACTATTAATCCCATTCCACTTGAGTTGTGAATTAGATGAGCCACAATCACATGGAATAATTTTCACAATCCGGAACTAGGAGAATGACTGTAATTATGGGCCCAACAAAAGCATTAGATCTCACACTCAAAACAGCCCCAGAAATAGTAGATCTACATGTACACGTGTGCCTCCTGAGGTACAAGTAAAGTTTAAAGATTATGTTAGAGCAGAGGCACTTACATGTTGAGTTATACTTTAAACACGCAATATCAGATTAAATTCGGAAGGCTCCCAATGCACATGTTGCCATTGGTGTAATGATCAAATGGCAATAAGACTGGACCCAACATGACCTCACATGTCATTATGTAAAGACTGTGCTTCCTGGCTGCCCTTTAGCCAGCAAGTGCTTCTTAACATGTGCAGTGTATCTAATGGGTGATCACATGCAGAGTAGGTTATGTAGGTGTTGGCCACTCAGTTACAAGGTCAGCTACTTATGTGCGATCAGTCACTATACATGTCAGAGGACAGTCATTAGCACAAGGGAAGCACATTCGCAACATAATGATGTGTGAGGTCAAGTTGGGTCACGACTTTGGTACCCTGTATGTGCCCTACTTCGGTAGCTCTCGGAATTTTACAGGAAATGGCACTTTTCATCCACATTTTAAGTAAAGCTACCAGTAAGCTCCTCCTGTGTAATCCTCAAACTAATTGTACCTTGAGGCATATCTAATGGTGTTTTTTTTCCCATTTTGAGGGTGAAATCTGACGTTTTTGTCAGGCCATTCATTTTTCCCTATTAAACCCACTTTTGTCAATTTGGTTGAACCTTTGTATACCAGATTGTGTTCTAGTGTTAAATGGAGATAGGGTCCAAGCTAGTGTACTCAGACCAGGTCTGGATAGGGAGGTTTATAAATTTTCAACTGTTTTTCTGTTTTGTGTTTGAAGTGATCTTGGAGAGGTATTTTGAAGAAACGTTTTGATATAAGTTTGACCGGTTATTTGTAAGGGCACCCTTTTTAAATTCTGTGGTTCTCATTTCCGACCAACTCTTTTTTGGCTCCCGACCTCAGAAAAAAACTTTTTTCCACTAACCCTACTTAGGGGACCTTAATTGCCTATAAAAGTAAGCAGGTTGTGATGACCTGTACAAAAACAGCACTGAAAATATACGTGTGCGGTATGATTTTGCCCAAACATTAATGCAGCAACAGTCGAAATGCACGGTATAGCATCACTATGTGTGATGTAAAGCATCACTTCATGCAGTTAAGATGCTATAGGGGCCTACATGTATGCTCTCAAATGTGCCACCTGTGAATTTAAAGTAGATTTTGCAGTTGTGCGTTTTGCTTTTAGCGTAAATATACCGCAATGCGTTGAGTTAGAAGAGTGCATTATAGCGGGGTTTGACGTGAACCATGCAATACAGTTATATACATTTATCACACTGTTTATTGCCGTAGATCGACCAATCTGAGTTGAGAATTTAAGTTTGCCTGAAGAAAATTGAGGAAACAGCTTGTAGAAGTTCAAGTATACTATCATTGTTTTTCCTGCAGAGTTAAAGCCAACCTACTCTGTATGTTATCAGTCTTTGTACAGGCGAGTTAATCCATAATAAAAGCAACCAATGAAAATTTACCTGCTTGTAAGTGAGACTGCTATTTCCATAGGTGGGTCCATTAATTGACATGATTAATTCTTATCGGTTCTTTTTTTCTTTGTCAAGGAATTCAACATTAGCAACAACATCCATTTTGTGATAGCAACAACAAACCGAGAGGAAATAAAAGACAATGGGGGATATGGTAAGTGCACATGTGTAGAAACCAGACTTGACTCAAGCTGGGATCTCTGTGACATCTTCATTTATGCTTTGGATGCCATTGAGGCCTCATGTTGTTATGTGCTTTGCGCCCTCTTGTGTCCACTTATTATTATGATTTCAGTTCAGAAATCCTGATTTGATGAATCTGCCAATTGTTTATACACAGTGAGTGGGCTCATCTACCAAAAGCGGTAGCGGCCAATCACACTGCCAGACTTGTTTTTACGTTGTTTATACCTGCATTATAATGAATGAGTCTACAGGTCTGACTACTTTGATTGGTGGAAATTCCATATGCATTATGCAAGATCATGTCGTTCGTACGCAATTATGAACAACTACATATCACCGATGAGGTTCCAATTGGCTTATCCATCAAATCGGATACATGTACATGTATGACACACATACAATAAAGGCTATCAAATGAGGACGCCTTGTAAGGGTTATGCGAGCTGCTGGGCTGAACACAACGACCGTGTACTGCATACAGCCTGAAGGGATGGCTGACTAGGAAGGGCATTGTACATGTAAATCCGACTTGATTCGGGTCTAGTAGAAACCAGAGTTGTATGACTTGTGACTCAGACTCGAGTCCAACTCAAGTCACATTTTTAACGACTCAGACACAAGTCATTTTGACATAAGATTCAGACTCAGGGCTCGACCTGCATGACTTGTGACTCTTCATAAATTACATCAGTGTGGTTTTTTTTTCACTGAGCAAAACAACTCATGGTGCAGCTACTGCGGTGCATGCATGGTTGCCCATATATTAATTGGGGAAATCAATAAACAGAAACGTGAAGCTTGCCATCCAAACTGGATACTGCATTAATACACATTGATGCATTCAGTATCGGACTATTCTTATGTAACGCAGACTGGTGCCTTGCCAAGCAATAGCTTTGAACCACGTGTATTGCTGTTCAAAGAATCTGAGTTGCAGGTGAATACAGGGGAAATCAGTGAACAGAAAGGTGTAACTATCCGAGGTTGGTACAGTCTGTGTGTACATGTGAAAGCTAGAAGATCGGCCATGGCATCCATTTTAAAATTAACCTGCCCTGAGCAAACCATTGGAAAGGAGCACCATATTTGTGGAAGTTTATACAAAGGACAGGGCATACAGATCACTTGTACATGTAGGTCAAAAGACTGTTTGTCATACTTGATTTTCCATGGTCCCTTTGACATGCATGCACATGTTTTTCCAGTTCATTAAATCAGAGAAAAGTTGTGATGAAAAATGCAACATTCCGTTTTTTTCGCAGACAGTGGGTTTCCAATACAATAATAAAGGTGACTAATGACTCGGACTTGCACTCAACCTTTGTGACTCATGACTTGGACTTGACCTGGATGAGTCAGGACTTGGACTCCAGAGAAGTGACTCAGACTTGATGTTTCGCAACTCAAATACAAGTCTGATAGAAACTAAACTGACAAAAAAGTCTGCAAGCTATGGAGACACCCATATGTACATATATATACATGCATACCATGATCACTAGTACTCTGGTTATGCTCATTTGCATTTTATGTAGCTGCAACTCTCCAGCCATTTCGAGAAGAGAACTACAAAAGGGGCACTGTACATTCCTGAACATGAACTAACAGTCCCTCGAGATGACTCCAATTTTGTTCCCCCAATTTTGCAGAGGAACTTATTGATTCTGGTGACACACTATACATCCTCAATCACATCAATCAGAATCTGCCAGCCCCTGCCAAGGAGAGAGTGGAGTTCCTGCCTCACTATGACACACTGGTCAAGAGCGGAATGTATGAATACTATGCCAGTGCAGGACAAAACCCCCTGCGTAAGTCTCTGAATCCTACCTATCCTTTCCTGGGAAGAGTACATGTAAATTGCCCTTTGGGGTTTTCCCATGTTGTCACTAGGTCTCTTGCAGCTTGGGAGTTCATTATTTGACATCATAATTATAATCCCACCGTAGCACCCTGTTAACAACCATTCTCCCATCATGACACCTTCAACATGGAGTGGAAAAAACTTCCATACAGTAGTTCATATTGTTGAATTACACATCCCATTAAACTCTGAAATTCCTGCTTGTGTTCCTTTGGTTTGTCTTTGCAGCATTTGCCTTTGCAGAGTTAATTGATAATTCCCTGACAGCAACTTGCGACAATCTGGGACCCAGGACAATTGAACTAAGATTGGTAAGGAAAATGCGTCAGAAGATCATCACTGGTATTGAGCTTAAAGTACATGTAAAAGAAAGTCAAGATTTTGATGAGGAGTAGAAGGTCTGACATATTTATAAGCACAGTTGTTTTGGACTGAATTTCCAAATTTGAACTTCTTTCCAGTTTTTGGATGAATCAGGAGATAAGAGTATGATTTGTATCATAGACAACGGCAAAGGCATGACATCCAGGCAGCTAAACAACTGGGCCATCTACCGTCTCTCCAAATTCATCCGCAAAGAGAGGAGACCGAAACAGTGAGTCAAAATCAACCTGGACCACTACATATAGTAATTCAGAAACAAACCTTCTACCTCACATACCTCATAAGACACCATCATGTTGATATTCATGTTATTGGACTGAGGATACGTTTGATTGATAGTAAAATCTTACACCAAATTTTGCCAGGACTGATGATGATGACAACAGGTCCAATTCACCTGCCAACGAAGCGGTACCTCGTTCACTCACAAGCGACATCTCATACTTTGGTGTTGGTGGCAAACAAGCCATATTCTTCATCGGCCAAGGCACAAGGGTAACAATGGTTGAGTTTTATTCCAAACGCTGTGTCATTTAAGTTGGTTTGGATTTAGATGACCACAACGTAGATGACCAGTACAAAACCCAGAGCATGGATCGTAATCACCCCCCCCTGAGTCAAGAGTGAGAAACATTTACATGTACCCCTGGTGTTTTGTCTGTTCGGCTACCATTGATAAGAATATTTTGAAAGTTAAATGTCCTCAGTCAGCTTTCCATGTTTTGAATTAACATGTTTTGAATTCACATTACAGTAGGTCTTTGCTGAAGCAAAATTTACATTGATCAGTGAGATTGAATTTGGAATAACTGTAGGTATGAATTTTGCTGAATTTTTTTTAAGTGGCCCATAATGAAGGGATAGTAATGTCATAATCAAAAAAATGCCAGGGATCAGTAGAGTAAACCAAGATTTGTTTCTCTGTGTAGATGATCACAAAGCCTAAAGACTCCAGAGATGTGCACGAACTGACAATATCCAAGGAGGAGTTTGAGAGACGAGAGAAGAATCGGGAGTCCATCTACAGCGGTTTTATCAGCAACAGACCAGTACGGGACCTCTGGCCATCATTCTTAGGGAACAAAACTAAACTTTAATTCTCCAGTTGGAAAAAAAAATCGGTTTTCAGTAATGAAGTAAAATCAGGCAGGGTTGCTATGGCTCATGCTGAATGTGTTGATTTTGCCTTGAAGTGAGTTCCTCAAAACATCTTGAAATGTTTAATGACAACCTGGACTTTATGTCCACCAAGTCAGTAATCCAAGTGAGACTTTTGCCTCCTTTTTGCTTCAGAGTTTTACTTTTCCAAAGCAAGTTAAGAAGAGGGAACTGGAAACAACACGTTTTGATTTCTTTATTCTCAGGTGGGCGATGCTCGTCACTTGGGCAGTGATGATCAGAACCTGAAGAATTTGATCAAAGAAGAAATCGGCAAGGAGAGTTTCACTCATGTCATCATCACCGGTATTAATTCACACCACATACACTATCTCAAGCATGACTTCGTGGGATGGTGCCGACAACTGGCGTAAGTGGGATTATTTCGTGTGGAAGACACAGAGCTAGATAAAGGAACAAAAGAAATGAAAACGGGAGACAAGATGGAGTCAAATGTTGAATGGCTATGAGATTTCATCCACGAAAAGTAGTGTCTTTAAACCTGAAATACTCCACAAGTTACTTGGGAACACTGCTCTTTCTGATCTGTGAGAAACCTTGTCTTTGTGATCTACTCCAGGCATATTTACCATTACTACATCCATGGTCCCCGTGGCAACGAAGCCTCTGGGTTGGGGAACAAACGGCCCATAAGCCCCTTCAAGAATATCGACATCACCGTGGAGATTCACGAACGAGGCAAGACGCCGCGTGTTATCAGCCTCCGAGATATCAAGGATGATATGCAAACAAAGTGAGTCAAAAATGATGGTCTGGTACCAGCAGACCAGAAACTTTGAAAGGAATTGTACTGCGTCTTGTTTGTAATCATTCTGTTAGGGGTTAGGCTGGTGCATTAGGAGCCTTTATGTCTGCACTTTACAGACTAGGGTTTTTTAATTCGACACAGACGTGCATTGATTTTCAGAACCTGTTTCTGTTTGTGGCAGGTACATCCGTAGTGCTATTGACTCGTTTGAATTCCGAGCCGTAGTGGAAGGCACTGGAATTGTTGAAGGGATTCTGAGATATCATCCATTCCTGTATGACAAGGAGACGTTCCCTGCTGTAGATTCAATTCCTGGAGGTGGGTACCGTGCTGAACATACCCTGTGTAACAAAGTCAAAATTTCAACTGTGTCAGAGTTATTTAAGGTGTTGGAAAATGCACAGGGATTTGATCGGTGACTTTTTTGTTAGGCCAAACAAAAATGCTTTGTCTCTGGTCAGATTGATGTTCCAGAATTGATGCGGTGATGCGGCTTTTTTTTTCTCTAGGGTTGGATTGTACAACTGCAGACACATTGTTGAGTCAGGGGACAAGACCAGCTTTATTATCATTACAAGCTGACAACTAACAACTTCATATCCAGGAATTGAAATTAATGGGCGCAGGTAGCTAAAATGTGCCCGTTTTCCTCAGAAATGCACCCGTAAATCATAATGATGGACGCAAGTACTTACGCCCATTTGATTCCATGTACTTGAACATGTTTACTGCTTGTTTTTACTTTTGTCATGAAAAAACACCTAAACTTTTTTCTTCACTTTGGATCAGCCTTGTCATGGAACCATAACACGGTAAAATTTTGTTTACGATGGCGCCAAGCGCACGCCGCAGTCTCGAATGTGATGCATGCACACACATGAACGTACATACATACCCGCCGCCAGTGTCATGACTGTATGGAAACTGGCCCCTTGTGTGTAAATTCAAGCCAAACGAGTGGGTTTGGCTTAGAGTTCAGTTTGCTGGTTCCAGTCATAGCTTGAACATGTGGATTTGAACCATGCTCCAAAATAGCTGGAACCAGCGAAACTAAAGTCTCAGCCTAATCGTCTTGGGACAAAAATGCTCTATTGCTGTAGTTAGTTCCCTTTTATGTCTGTGTGCATACGCACGTTAGAAAGGCCCGGTGCCAGACTTTTTGTGTAGCATCGCTAAGCACATTTGAGACTCCAGTTGGGCCTGTACTCACTACTAGTTGTACGTCGCGTGCATGCCTGCAAAAATAACAACTGTAAGTTATCAGTGTCGTCAATTTAAACAAAAGCAACAGTAAGGACCAGGGTCTTTACTTTTTTTTCTTCAACATATGTCTTTACATTGTATGAGAGCTACTTGCTCCCATAAAGTGACGAATTCAGCTGTCTAGGGAACAAGCACTTGTTCCCGTGATGATTAGCCCAATTTCGAGCCCTGATATCCATACTCTGCTGTTACTGTTCGATATCAATCGCGTCAGGATTTATCGCCCTAAGTAAAAGATCGAGCTGCCCGCAAGATTGTTGAGGCAGTGCTGAAATAGAGGGTGCTATTGCAGCTTAATAGAGGGTGCGATTGCTGCTTTCACTGAGAAAAAATGATTGATGCGCATGCTAGAAATTCGATGTGTGCACTGACCAGAGATTAAAGCCTTTTTTTGGCCTTAGTTGCATAAAAGCCGTTCTTTTTGTCAAGATTTTTTTCCCTTATCTCCTTACTCTTCTCCCCCAAAACCTGTTCATTTTGTACACATTTTTTCTGTAGAGGACTCTAATCCCTTTGCAAGTTAGTATTTTCATCAAGAATATTCCAAGCAAATTCCCTAATACATAGGTGCTTCCAGAACAATGATGTTATAGCTATCACAAGTCTCACAATAGGCCCTCAAGGTTGAATTCGTCACGATGATGTCATCTCGTGACTTTTTTTGGCCTTTATATTTTTCTGCAAATCTTATAGTCTCGTACACGGATCGTTTTTAGTCGACATGTCTTAAAGGACACATGCATAAGTGCACTTCTCTCTAAACTTAGAATGGGGGAAAGCCCTTTGTTCTGTTGCAAACAGACACAGCAGCTGTTGTTAAAATTCTTAAGCTTTCCCCTTTGATTGCACTTCCAAGTTACTTACAAACATTTTGGTACAGGGTTTGGAGAGAGTGACATAGCCCAGTATTTGGTGAATAGCCTTTCAGTTCCAACGTGATAATCCCCATTCTTGTGTGTTCCTTTCCAACAGTTGATGGAGACGTTATTGAGGAGGAAGACTATTATAATGAGGACAGACCAGCTAGAGGAAATCGACCCATCTTTGAATGTTACTGGAGTGGAAGACTCATCCCTTACACATGCGTTGAGAAGTAAGCTCCGGACTTGCCCAGCAGGAGTTCAATTTCATGGATCTGCTTAGCACAGTATATAAAATAATCACAAATAAATAATAATCAGCAAGTACATTTATATTGTAAACTGAGCTGACAACCAGCTGGAACAAGTGAAGAACACTTGGCATGTCAGCTGGTAACTTGTCTTGGAAATGTTAACTTAGCAGTTTTGTGAAACTGATTTGAGGTTGGTATATAAAGTAGTTCCCATTTGGTCATGTTCAAGAGAGAGCAGTTTGAATCCTGTCATGTGCACCATTGTTCGGGCTTCACGTTCACTTCCGTCACTCTGATCATTTTGCAGTTTTGACTGGTGTTCCGCACCTAAGAAGCGGGGGCCCATCCCTGTGGAGTGCTACAACAGAATCTCAGGGGTGCTGTGGACCAATGACAAGTTTGAAGTCAGTACCAACAAGTTGACCTTCATTGACCTGGAGGTCAGACTGAAGGATAAAAACACAATCTTCCAGAAGATTGTCCTGGGCCAGGCAAGTCAAAAACTCTTTCCGTAGTCTTACCCTTGGGCTACCCTGCCTCCCTCTACAAATTCTTTGAGCTAATATTTTCTAAACAAGCAGCCTTTTGCTGTCAATTATTAAAGGCCCAGCGCGTGAAGATTGACCGTCAGTTCCATGAATGGTTGAGGGAATGTCATGAGACCTATGACAAGCAGGTAAAATTCTGCAGCTTTGAGGGAGCCATCGCCCGGCCAGAGATCGCCGTCAAGAGACAGCAGTCGCCCTGGGCCGTCTACAAGGCCATCGAGTGGGACGGTAAAATCTTCAAGAGAGGCCAGCTGGTAAGTCAAGTCAGGATTGTTCCCCAAGCAATTAACTCCTAATTTGAGGCTACCACAAACCTCAGTCAACCAGTCTAATGTGCATTGCTTTCTAGGTACGGACGTTTCGTACTGTTCCCATCATCACAGGTACCATCAAGCGGTTTCTCCTGTATGGACACCATGAGGGGGATGTCTTTGCCACAGGTGGAGAAATGGAGATTGCACAGGTTGGAGAACTATTTTATGTACCAGGAAGTCATGATTCCCCTTTCCCAAGTGCTCATCCATGAACCATGTCTATCTGCCTCTTTTTGTTTGACGTTGATAAATAATGAGTGTACCAGAGCCCTTTATAACATCAGAGGTTGTCAGTAGAATCGGCTATAAAATTTGAGGGAAAAAATGAGTTCTCTATTCGCCATTTTGGGCCTGAAAATCTTTGTGAGATTGAAATGATTTGGTTTTGCAGGAGCCAAAATTGCTCTACGATGAGGTGAAGGTCGTCCCCCTGTCCAAGTTGGATCGGTCAGCTAATGACAGGATCTTGAAACGATTCATCGAGGAAGAAGAGGGAAAGTAAGCCATCAACATAGATGCCTCAAGTAGTTCAGAAAACTGCACAAGGAACTCTCTTTGAAATCTTGAACATGTTGATCTAATTATATTTTTGTCCTCGCTACTTGAAGGTACATCTGCAGGTTCAGTCCTGACATTTTATGTTGTCGCAGGAGGATGTTGCTTTGATTTAAAGAAATATTTGCTCCTCGTTTCTCAAATCAGAGTGTCATTTTCAATGCATTGGCCACTCTTTGTGGTACCTAATAGGTTGCCAGAGAAACTGATTGTCACCTGGCCTGAAGGTAACCAAGTCAAGCAAGGAGACAGGATGGCTGCTGGAAGCACAGTTGGTGAGAAGACATCATGTTTGTTGCAAAGTCCTGAATATTTTTTTCAGGAATATCGGGTGTTTTCAGTCTGTTCCCAATGGGAACAATCTATATTCTAGAGTCTAGTCTAGAAATGTGCAGGTCCACCAGTAGCATCACTGGAATGTTTGCAGCTGTGTTGCTCTTGTCAGAAACAAAATGGACTGCCAGTTCAGTGTTTTTCATGGCATATTCCTGAGGTCCTAGGCACTCGAGTATGTGAACTTTCCCCCATTTTTAATCCTTTCATCATCTCTGACCAAGGCGCCATCCAAGTGGACATCAAGAATCGTAAAGGCGAGTCAATTTCCCGCCTTCCCGGATCACACCTTGCTGCTAAGAAACTTTTGGTGGAACTCAAAGTCATCCTACACAGTGAGTCACTTTTAAGGCATTTTCAGAATTGCTTCCATAGTCCTTGCATCCCTGTCAAAATGTCATGACATTGCATTCAGAGACCTCCCCACATTATTGTAAATAAACTTGTGTTTGTGTCTTTGTGTCAGACCGTTTGCATATAAACCACATTTAGAGTAAACAAGTTTCACAGATTGGTTAAACTGGTATTCCAGTGGTAGGGGGTTCCAATCCCACAGTTGAACCTAATATTTACTTGCCCAATTAGTAAACAAAGTTTGAACAAATAAAGAAACTGGACAGAATTTGAAATTCATTAGCAGGTATTCCAGTGGTTGTAGGTTCAAATCCCACTGTTGAGCCTATTACTCACTCGTCCAATAGACATCTCATCCTCTGTAACACTTTCTTCGTGCAGCTCCCAATGGTGAGGAGGAGCTGGTCTCTCATCTTAGTCAGTACGTCAAGGCGTGGTCCTATTGGTTCAAGAGAATGGGTGAGTCATTCCATTAGCTCAGAATTTAAGCAGAGGCTCTCCAGTTTTGCTAAGCAGAGCTGCAAAGAGCTGGACCTGCAGTTTACTCAAGCAAGGTCACATGCTATTTATCAGTGCCTAACTAAAGTTTGAAGTCTGTGGTACCTATCTGAAGTAGTCCTCCGATCACTTTGTGGTTAACTTTTTGCAGAGAACATGAAGAATCTTGGGGATCACACCATCAAGATCCAGGTTGTCCTGAATGAGAGTGGAGTAACAGCGTTTGGCGGTAGGCCACTGCCCAACCACAAGATCAAATTCAGCATCACAGGCAAGATGCTCATTCTTTTGATGAGTCTTTTATTTTCTCGATCCTTGAGAGAGTTTGTTCTGCCTGTTGGTAGATTTTTATCCAAAGTCTTTTAAAGTCTAATTCCCTGTTGGGGAGACTTACTTGATGTGCTGACCTTTGCCCAGTTTTAACCACTTCGTACCGGGGCATTTTTCAACGTTTATAATGCTGGGCCGGCATGACTATCATTTTTTCTGTTTTCAAAATCCTT